CGCAGCTGCTAACCTTACGGCAGTCCAGCTTCTGCCCCAACAGTCAGACATCTTCCTGTAACAAGACACCTTAAACAAATTTATTGGCATTCCTTTCTGACATTTACATCTCAGCTGATGCACAAACCAATAACAGACAATTACAAAAAAAAACACCAGAACATGACTGTATTACAATGACTAACTGATTTAATGCGTGACTTTAGACACAAGGTTCTATGGGAAATTCCCAGACAAGTAAGAATGTGTCACGGCCAGGGATTATGATTGACATTTTAGATTAAGTGCACTCTTGAGTCAACAATGGCAACTATTTTTGGATCGTTAATTGTCTTATGTCAGTAGAACTAATTTTTCTTGTGAAAAGCAGAACAAGAACAGAAGTCTTCTTAGCCCGGTAAACAGATTGTTAGAAAAGTGGACAAAGCTTTGTGTTAAAAATGCTCTAAATTCTGAAATGTATGACATAGTAACCCAACCTCAAAAGGCCGACCTTTAATGAATGCTGAAACATAGGATTATTTATCAGGGGAGTTGAACTCATGTTAAAATAAATCTCCCCATCTAGCAACAAACATAGTTTTAATACTGACGCTTTATGCAGAACTCAGCTACACAGGAGATAAAAATACCAGTGTTTACAGTAATTAAAAGGTTCACTCAAAAGTCTCAAAAATAATCAAAGAATGTATAGAGTCTTTTCTGTGATCTTTGTTTTACAAATTCCCAGGCTCTATGCTTCTTTAAATTCTCCTCCTGTATAGGTTATTGGTAGTAATGACTGCAATAACATTTCCTTAGTCTTTAACTAATATATTCTAGGTTAACTGAACATTTATCTTTTATTCAATGCTTCATTTTGTTGAGTTTTTAAAGGGGAAATTTGTTTTTTTTTTTACATTGGGCCCTTGATTTTAAGTTATTACATCATGTTCTACTCACCCATATGAGTTTTGTGTCATTTGGAGCCGTTCTGAAGATATTCGATTAGGTTATATCCAAGTAACGTCTTCCTATGGGCAGTCGAATTGAAGGCACAAACTGAACTGTTCATAATTTATTCTTTATGGTACGCCAGCATTCATAACATGTAGGCGAATCACTCGCCCTCAGACATCCGCGGTAATATTTTTTATATCTATATGTTTTAAAAACAAAGCGAAGTCATCCGTGCATGCTGACTGGAGTCGAAACAGGAAGCCCAGGCCACAGGGGGCTACGCTCTACCCCTTATATTCATTCGGCCAGCTAATCTGAATTGTTCAATTCCATTTCGAGAGCGAGATCATCTGTGGTAGTAGCACTAGACATCTTCCAGGCATGTGAGTAAAACTAGCAGCAGTTCAGGGGACAGGAAGAATGAATGGTAGCTGGCGCGCGCGGATGACGTCATACACGCGCTGCTTTGTTTTTAAAGCATATAAATATAAAAAATATAACCGCGGATGTCTGGGGGACAGTGATTTGTCTACATGTTATGAATGCTGCCGTACCATAAAGAATAAATTATGAACAGTTCAGTTTGTGCCTTCAATTCGACTGCTCATAGGAAGACATTACTTGGATATAACCTAATCGAATATCTTCAGAACAGCTCCAAATGACACAAAACTTACATGGGTGAGTAAAACATGATGTAATAACGTCAAATCAAGGGCCCAATGTAAAAAAAAAAGAAGTTCCCCTTTAAGTTCATCTTTTTTTTTGGCTCCCTTTTTAACCTTTGAATAGGACTTTGCATTGCCCTCATTTATTGCCATGGAGGCTTTATAACTGTAAAGATATTGGTCGACTAGTTGATTGATAGGTTCATTGGTGTGAGCAGGATCCTCACTTTAAACTCACTAAACAGGATGATTGAATGAGATCAATCAAGAGAAAAAATAAAACAACAAACAAAAGTCAAAAACCTAACCAATCTTAGTGATTCAACTTGAAGCCTTTTTCTGTAATTTGTTAAAGGGACGCTGATGGCAGCCAGACACCTTAGCGTTTGACTTGGTTTTTAACCACAGAAGCGATGAAACCTGCTTGGCACAACTAAGGTGAAAAATTAAGAAAAGCCCTGAATAATTATGACATTAATTTCTAAGTGCTAGCCACACTCAAAAAGGCTGCAGAGGGAAGAATGTTTCACCACTAGGGTTCTGTTATGTATTAGCAGAGTGTACAAAACTGGCTAAGTGTGCATCGAACAGTTATCAGTTATTGTTCTCTTTAAAAGCTATGTATGATTTTACCATTATAGTTGTTTTTGTACGGCTCTAACAAGCTGTAACTTTATCACCAAACATCTTTTAAAACTTATGAGTTTTGAGTCAGTATGGAGAAACAACTGTTGGAGACAATGGAAGCCAATTTCAGGAAGCTAATTCCTAGTAAATGGGGTGTTTATCAAAAGAGGTTCACAAAGCATTTAACAGGGATTTTCTAGAAAAGGCAGCTCCCTGAGTATAATTTCTAAAAGCTGTTTGCCAGTACTAAAACAAATTATTTCAGGCACTTCTCTTGAACACCTTTATATTTCTATTACTGTTTAATCCAAAGAGCAAAAGGTTTGTAAAACACACAAAAACCTGTGAACAGATGTCTTAAGAGATTAGCTGTTTTCTAAATATAAATAAATAAACAAAATCATTGACATTAACAGACCTTATAATCTGTGCTGCAGGAGCCTATTAGGGGATTCAATGAAAAGAGGAGAGAGGGTTAATGATGACAGAAGAAAGGATTAGAAGGATTGTCAAAGGTGGCAAAAAGAATAGAAAATTAGAAGCTTTTGAGTTTGGGGGGGTAGGGTTGGCATTCCACTCCTCCCCTCCAAATCCTGGCTGAGACAATAGGAATCACTAAAGAGCCAAGGAGCAGAGGGTACGATAAGGTAATGATAATGTAATGAGGACCAATCATGAGCCAGAGCTAAGTGCGGAGCCTCCTAATTTGTCTCCAGAGTAGTAGTTCAGTGTCAGATGTGTATCTTTTGGAGAGAGGGATGAGGCCACACTTTCAAAATGAATGGTTGTTCAGGCACTAGAAGAAAGTCAATGAGGGGGGGGGATCTAAATTGGATGGAGAAAAGTCCATCAAATATATTCAAATTGCAAGGCTTTTAATAGCCTGTTTAAGCTACAGTTCAATTTTGCTAAATAATAAAAAAGGGAAAAATGCTGTCCTTATAAATGGGAAAATATTACCTATTTAATCTGCAAACAACAATCCTGTATTTATTGACCAGTGAAGCAATCTTGGCAAATTCCATAATAACAAACCTATTGGGTAAATGCTGTTTAAGGTGAAGTTAGGTAAACCCTATGTTACATTTCCTATTTTCTTTAAATTTATTGAGATTTTTTTTCTGTTTTTTACAGGAATTACATGCAATAAAATGCAAGACATACCACGTTAACATTCAGCAGTGGTTCGACTGCCAAATTTATGGAAATAGATATTTTTTCTGTCTCTGTTGCCTCTTGCCTTCACACTGTAGCGACTGCATCAGTAAGAGTGTATAATCAATAGTTTCGGCTTCTATCCTGTCCCCCAATAGAAAAGGAGAGTAAGAACAGCTTGGTAGAGCTTTGCTGATTGGTGAAGCATCTCTTCATGGCTACCGTTTTAATGCAACAGACAAATGCCAAAACAACAATATAACAATAATATATAACAATAAATATTTGGACATAGAGCACAGTAAATAATCATACCTTTTGATTATTATAATTTTTTTCACATTGCAACCAGAAACATCTGTGGATTTTATTGGATTTTTGCATCTGTGCGAAAAAAATCTAACAAAGTCCACAAAAGTCAATGGAGAGAAAATTACAGTTTTCATTATATTATAAAAAAAATAAAAATAAACTGTCAGATAAAGAGAGCTATCTTTAGAATAACACTCGTTAGTATTATTACTCACTAACTTTAAAGAGACGTACCTTTTTATGATTTGATCTCAGTACATATTCAGTTGTTATATGAATGCCTAAGATGGGTGCTAAAGACATACTAAAGACCAAGGAAAAAAGCAGGTCAGGGATGAAGCAGTAGAAAAGTGTAAATAGCGTAAAGCAAGAGCAATGTCCTATAGATATGGAATGGGATGCAGTTCAATAAATCCTTTGAAAGTAGAAAAACCAAACCAGATCTTTATATCTAAGATATATATGTCCACCTAAGCTGACCGGATATCAATGATAGAAGCGGTCAGGAAACCAGTGTAGCTCTAAAGGAGCAGCAGAGCTCAGGTTTGTTCACCTGTTGACAGGGCAACTTTTTTGATGGGCATGTCTCGATTCTGGTCTTTACGAAAGAGTGGGGTAAAAGAAAGTTATCTTCAAGAGAATAAAAGACCCAATAAACAAGAAAGAGTGGAAGACCAAGTTCTAAAGTCACGAGCCCAAAATGATATTATTGGCTTTCAGACAAACGTTAAAAGTAGCAGAAAACCAACACTGTGCATCTGCTTTTAGAGGTATGGAGAAAAACTTTTCCATCATTAGAAACCAGGGAGCTGAAGGCAACAATGATGGAATAAAAATAAAGAGAAATCTTTAAAGAAACTTATAAGAGATAGCTAAATACCTGAAACACCTTCCAGCAGAGCATCAAACTTTAACATAAAGCCACAGTTACAGCAGCATCATTTGGATGCAAGCTTTTACATGTTATAATGGCATCAGAAATCCTGACCTAAATTAAGTTGATATTTCCTGGCAACACATGAAAATTAATATTCAGAACCTTTTCATCCAATCTCATTGAAGCAGAGCTGTTTGGCTGAAACAAATGGGTTTAAACATCAATCTCTGTGTAGACAAAGCTGGTGATGCTATGTGCTGTTGTGATTGCAAGATGACAAACTATAGAGAATATATTAATATTTTGCAATCCAGTGTGAATAAGCTAAATAATGAGGTAAAAACAACAATAGGAGGACATATGTTGTAAATAAAATAAAGGAAGGGGTTAAGGCAGAGCCAAAGAGCAAAGCTAACACATACCTCAATACTAAACTGTTTCCTCTTGAGCTTAAAGGCCAGGTCCTTGTGGTCAGGGAGCTGGCTTGCCAGACAGTTCAGGTGAGGCACCTGGCGTACGTACAGCAAGCCTATGAAGCACAGGGGGGCCGGATCAAAAAAATTATATTAATCGAAATAATAAGAAAATACACTCTACGACAAAACTTATATGATTTTAAGTTCAATCATTTTTACGGTACATCGCCTACTGAGTATGAAGGGGAACAACAACCTAAGATTGCCTGTATTATCTTTCAATAGTGGTAAAAACAAACAAACATTAAAATAAACAAATAAATAAATAATTAACTCTTTCATTAAAGTATGTAATTGTGCATACTGCAAGAAATTGTTCATACTTTTAAAATTTGAACCAATAATTTGTTTTGCATTAACACATAAAGACAAAATTGGAGCTCTTTTAAAGAAGCATTCTTCCTCAAACTTTATCAGACTTTTATTTTAATAAAGTTGAGGTTTTGTTATTTTTGGTAGATCTGAAGAATTAACCTCCTAATAATAACTAGATGCATTCCCATAAACATATTTTCCTTCCAAGGATGTTTGAATTCTATAAATATTTATATTTTTCCTTTGAAGGTATTTAGTTTATACCGTAATCTATTTCTATCAAAGCGTATAATTTCTTTCTGTATCATATACATTGCATTCTAAAGTGGATGTCAAAACATTATTTTACTGTGATTTAAAAACAATAATAGAGAAGCCTTTCTTCCTCTCCTCTAGTGTCCTAATTATTGAAGAACTGGTATTTTCCCCCCCAACTTTTAGTGTAATAATAAAAACAGAAACTATGATTTCCTGCTACAACAGGAGGAACAGAAGTGGGATTTTCTAAACCCTCGACTCCCCTTTTCATTTCATTCCAGCACATTGACATTTCCAGAAAACTGTATACACACTGTAAAAGTAGGGTGGTACAAACAAGCGTGACACAGAAAAGGAAAAGATTGAGGGAGTAATGGAGAAAGGAAAGCAGATAGAGAAAGTGGGGGATGGTGGGTTCTCTCCTCTGTGCACTTGGGTGATTTCCCTCTGCCTGATTTGCAGTGACAGGCTTCCCAGCATGCTTTGAGCAGCCCTGAACTGCTGCCGCAAACACACATACACACATGCACTCTCCTACTCGCACCAGATGCGTTGGCATACATCAACACGCATTAAAACAATCATACACATAAAAGTATTTCAGAAGCCTGTAACAGAACTAGTTAATCAGGAAAAGTATGGGGTGTTAATCTGCATAAATATCAACTCAAAAATCCAGAGGTTACTTTTGAAGCTCACTAGTTAAGATCGTGAAAACTCATAGATGGTGCGAGGTTTCTAAAACTTGCTTGCCGAATGCAGAATGCATAAACATTTCTGTATAGGATCTAAACAAATGTTCTGAAGAAAAACTACAATCTAAAACTGAATGTTTACATGTGCAACAACTTGAAGAGTTGAGGGACGGCTGGGAAAATGTAAGGAGGGGGGGAAGGAGTGAGTGGAAGAGTTGGAGAGAAACTGCTAAAAATACCACCCTCACTTATACTGACCTTTATGTGTGGAGAGTGATAGAAAAGAGGAAAGTGAGGAGGAGAAGAAGAAAAATGATAAAACTGTGCAGAAAAAAAAAAGTGATGCTGAGGACCGGGAGAGCAGAAACAAACTCTGCCTTCCCCTCCCATGCCTTAGTTACTCTCTCTCTACACGTCTCCTTACCAGTGTCCTGTCTCTCCACTGAAAGCTTTGCCCTCCATTTATTAGCAGAGCATGCTGGCCATGGAGACATTGAGCGAGAGATGGAGAGATGGAGGCAGAGAGGAAGGGAGAGTGATGGTGAGAATATCGATTCCCTAGTGTTGGTCTGCTCTGCTCCAGAGCCTCAGGGGTATGGGACCAGGGATGGAGAGCGGGCGAGGCGAGAGGGAGAGAGCCTCTGCTGGAGGTGGAGGGGGGTGGAGAGGCAGGGATGGAGTGAGGTGAGGGTGAGAGGGAGAGAGGGGGTACGGCGTGGCAGCTGAATCCCCCCCGGCCTGTCTACTGAGGAGCACGTCTGATTGAGCAGCAGCACGCTAACACGCAATGACAGCCTGGCCTGCAAGGGGGCTGCCCTGCCTCCATCCCAGCTCTGGTTTTAATGCACTGCCTCTGTGTATGTGTGTGTATCTGATGGAAAAGACGCTGAAAGATAAGCGAGTGTGTGTGTTTGTACCATGGTAGTCTTTGTAGAGAGGGTTGGTCTCTCTCTCAGAGCCTTTGAATGATTCCAGGGCGATGGCATTGTCACACAGCCGGGTTATGCTGCCCATTAGAGCTCTATCCTGCAGGAACGGAGAGAAGAAGGATTGAGAGTGAAGACCAACACAAGCAGGTAATTAAAAGCCTCCTGACGGGCCCCCAGTGTTACAATTAAATCAGGTCACCATTTCCTGCCTGTGACCAGCTCCTCTATGACCATGACTTATGGGAGTGTGATGAGGTGGAGAGGGTAAAGTGCTGATTGGAGTCACACAGGTGATGTGAGGTCAGGCACTTCACATCAGTCACCTACACTCATGTACAAAATGCTATGCAACTCAAGTGTTGGTCATTATTTCACCTCATAAAATATGTTTGAGAGGAAGGTTAACAGCTGATGCACAAAGCAAAAGCAGTGAAAAGCAGGACAGGATAGAAAAAAAGTATCTATGCAGGTTTGATGATGATAGCTCCCCCTACTGGTTAGGTCAATGAAACATTGGAGGTGAGGACAGAAGACAGCAAATGGAAACATATCAATAGAGAAAAGAACGTGAAGGAGCGGGAGAAAAAGAGGGACAGTGCCATACAGGGAGAGAGGGAGTCCTGCATTATTAATCCCTTTCCCTCCTGAATCATTCACATCCTTCTCTCTGTGTTGGCTGCCACAGCCTAATGCAGTTTTCATGCCTTCTTGTCTTTTTTCCTGCTCTTTCTTCCTCCTCTTCATTTTTGTCCTACTTTTAAAGTATGCATATCCAGCAGTGGGTACCAAGGCCACAGAAATAAAAGGACCTCATGTCGCTTTGTCTGCAACAGTGGATGAAGACAGTTTTTATTTTAAAATCAGCCTCCAATAAAACTATTGTATATACTTTCCCTAAAAAGCCATGATTATTTAAGGAGATACAAGCAACTTATCCTGACTTAAAATTTAGAATTGAAATAATGCAGTTTTCACTAGAAGCAGCCCAGCATAGTGGGAGCAGGGAAGAATGAGGTCAGTAAAATGTGAGGGTAACAACCTGCATTTGACTGTATATAGATGATCAGGAGATCGCCTTTATAAACTACAGATCAGTTTTTAACTCAGATTTATATTAGAAATAGATCTTCAATGCTGATTTTTAAGTTCTTTAGTTTTTTTGAGAATAAACCTGAAAAACTAGTTTTTCTTTTTAATTCCAAACATGTTGGACCAGTTAGGCACAGCTAAAGCAAGTTCCCTATAAAGATCTTGAATGAACATATTTTATATTAATATATATATATTATATGAAATAATGAAAAACAGGGATGGAAATGCACATGTTTAAAGAAGAAAATATAAAATGCAACTAAATACGCTGAACATAATAATTCAAATTAATACCATCAAATTGTTATAAGTCATTCCCATTTGTGGGTTCATGAGGATTCAAATTTTAGCTCTATTTTCTAGCTCTCCTTAGCAGAACTTTCTGGAAGTTTTCATCTTTTACAGGATTCTTAAAGAAAATCTGTGACATATTCTCCTAAAACAATTCAGTTAGCATCATAGAAACATTAATATACAAATGAACACCAGGGAATTTAAGCTCCAGGCCGATTTTTTCCTTTTTTAAACACAATAACATAGATGTATAACCTAAGCTTAAACTGAAAAAAATATATTCATTAGCATCTTACCCTTCATGTCACAAGAACTTAACTACTAACATGTCTTACACGTGGTTATAAGAGTTCCTTCAGGATGTTAGACTGACCCTAAGGAAAGAAGTCTAAATTATTTTCCAGATTTCTTTTTAAAAACCAAAAAACTACAAAGATATTAAAGACAAGACTCACTGATAATCTGGGGAAAACAGGATGGTTTACTAGATATTTAATAGATATTAAAAGCCAAAAGGTTTTGTGACTATGTTAAAATTAAAACTAAGGTATGTACGTCCTTTCTTAGATTTAAAAAAGGTGCACACAATATTATATTTCAAGGGTATTATTGTGAGTGAAGTATATTTTCTTGTATCATTGAATTCTTAATTTTTGTTATGAGTGGTGTAAGAAGGAAAGCATTCAGAACTTTTGATTCAGCCTAACAGCCACAATACTGTTTATGTAAATACAATGCATTTTTTTGTCTGAATAAACAAAATAAAGTTGTCTTAAACTAAATAAAAAAAAAACTAAAAGTCACAAAGCAACTTGTTTCATTTTTTTGAGATACCCAAATAACTTTGAGATAGGATGAATTGAAAAAGCTTCCTGGATGGGAAGCAAAACGTCTTCAAACTTATTAAACAAATTTCGGTGGTTTTTTTTTTTTTTTTGGTAAGAGATTAGGAGAAACAAGATTTTCTAGTCAGATGTAAAAAATATTCAAAACTACGTTGAGCCCAAAGGGGATTTGATTGCTGAGATCTTGAATTATCTCAGTGTTACTGAAAAATTGTACAAAACACATGCAGAGAGAGTTTTTAGACACAAAAAGGTGAAAGCCATCCGGAGAAAAGCTGATTTCCCAAATGTCAAAGCAATAGAGAAGAAGGAAAAAGTTGTTGACAACTTTTGCACCCTATATCTGATGAGTGAACAAAAAAAATGATCAGGAAAAAACTAAATATAACAGCGAATTAATATTCTGTATCCATAGAACTATGGATTTTTCTGTAGGAAGACCATCAACTTTAGGAGGGTTTGTAATCATAGGATTAAAAAACTTCATTGGGTAAAATTTCAATCAATTCTGTTTTAATGTTTAGAAGAGATTTATTTTGGGTGGAAAAAATAAAATTAAACATCTGCATGTGCATTTATTTGTTATTTCAGAAACTTGGATTCATAAATAATCTCCATTTAAGAGGGTTTGCACATATACCTTTTAAAAGCATTAAAATAATTTAGTTTGCCGAATACATAGAGCATTATGGGAGAGCTTTATTCTGCACATGTGTGTGAGCTGGGTGTGGTTGCTGAACATTGTATGATGGAAAGAGTCTAATTAATGTTTCAGATGGGCTGTGGCATTGGGCTGCTGTGAGGAGGCTTTCAGTGGGTTGCTCAGCTTCCTTAGCTGCTCAATAATGGATTAAGTATTGTAGACTAGTAGCAGAGGGCTAACTGGCTGAGGCCACAATGTTTGAGTCTGTAAAACCACTTCTGCTGGTCTAGACAGTCTACAGGCTACTCTCTTTTACCTGAAGAAAATATCTATACAAAGCAATGCAAGAAATATCGTCTGACTAAAGTTATCATCTTGATAAGAGCAGCCTTCATACATTGGTGAAGACAACGGCACAAAGTGAGAATGGAAATGCTAAGTTAATCACATGGTCACAACATAACAGCCGCTAATTACCTCCATGTTGGCTTCATCACCAAACACCTGATTCAGTCCAACCCCCCCTTTTTTTTTCAACTCATTCACTTCTCTCCCCAGGGTGGAGAAGGGGGAGGGGACAGATTAAGGGTTGGGAAGCCTGGCCAGAGTGGGACAGGAGGACCGCTCCCACCACAGCTGACATCTGCTAGTTAGCCACTCTACCTTTTTTTGCCTAGGCCAAGCCGCCGCGCACAGTGCGCACAGGCCTGGAGCCAGTGAGTGCTGTGACAACACAGCTGTTCTCTGAGCTAGGCACTGACCTATATCTCTGAATAAAGAGATCACAAACAATACAGTGTCAGGTCTCTTCAGAATGAGAAGTCTTTAAGTGTGCTTGAAGAGTGCTCAGGTTAGTTTGGTAAAGAGATGGCTTTGGAGGCTATAGCGCTGCTATGGCTGATTGTCTGGTTAAGGGTGGTGGTTTGCCATATGCCTCAGCAGATGACTCCACCTTCACACTGAGAGGCCAGACTGGACACAGACTCACAGACCACTACCAAACCCCCACCCCAACCAATATCATGACCAAAGACACACACACACACACACAGACACACACACCTTTAAGAAGATTTTATTTTTAATAAAGCCCTTGAGAAAGTTGTGGTAAAGTGATGCTATACAAATAAACCAAACTGAATGTTAGAAAAAAAAAGAGAAAAATCAAAAACAAGGCAAGAAAACAATGGCTAAAATGAGAACCACAGCAGATTAATAGGAGATCAATATGAACAGGGAGAGGCTTTGGACAGGAGATTTTCTTGCATTAACACAGACGTCAGCTAACCTGTCCATTTTGGATCTGGTGCTGAATACACAAGAATAGAGCAGAGGTTCTTCACTGCATTTTTTTAGACAAGTGGTTTCAGAGAGATGATAAATCCAAACAGTGGTTAAACAATCAATAATCACAGTAATCTCAATCAGTCCAGCTTTGACTGGAGATTAAGATTTATTCCCTTGTCTCAATTTAAGGTTACCAAAACTAGGGATCTATATGTGTCACTTCTGATCAGATTCTGATGCTTGAGTTTGAATCTGCAGATTCCGATAGTTTTCCTTTAGGAGACGTCTGTTTGCCAAAATGCTATCATCATTAACTACTACTACTTCTTTGCTTGTACATACACCTGTAATAATATGTATATCCTGTATAGCACTTCTGGATAGATGCAAACCACATTTTGTTGCTTTGTACTTGTGACAGTGCAATGACAAAGTTGAATTCTATTCTATTCTATTACTGCTGTTTTTTTTCTAAACTACAAAAAACATCTCTCTACATTACATGTATGCACACACGTTTATCCCAAAACACAACTTGAGAGGTCAAAAAAGTGGAAGATTTAAAACGTAAATTGTGTTAACAAGAAAAATGTTGTCCTGGAAACAGAGAAATTACCATAAAGGGTCAACTTTTCAGCTGTTAAGAGATTTTAAACAAACTTAAATCTATTATAGATATCTAAGTTTTCAGATACATTAAAAATTATACAAATTCAGATAAAAACTTATTTATTTTTTTATTTTACCCATTGAGATTAAAAACCTCTTTTTCAAGGGAGTCCCGGCCAAGAGGCAGCAAAGTTACATAAGAAACAGAGATACATTAAATTAAATGACAGGTACATAAAAAAACATATCAAGTAAAACATTTGCAGATCATTGAGGCTGCTTCAAATTCTTTCACTTTCAACTTAAACGCATTTAAAGATAAAAACTCAGCTCATGAGCCATTATAAAGCAGTGTACATACATTTTACATAGCATTAGCTCTATGTAAAATAAAGAGGATGAGTCCTTCCCAACAGAAGGTTTCAGACAGAGCTCAAAAACACCAAGCCAAAAGTGTTGGGCTCACTCAACTTTTAGATATGTCTTGTTTTATTTAATATTCAATCCTATTTGGATTAAATATTGGTGTCAGTGAGACTCTGTTGCTCTGGACAGAAGGGTAAGAAGGCAAACCAGGCATTTAATTCAGGTATGTTGGATCACTGACACTTTAAAAAGTTGCAGTTTTATAAGTGACTGGAATATGGAGACTATTTTACTGTAAGAATAAGCAGGTTTGGAGCCCAGCTGCCAAATCACTTTACCCTTATTGGGTAAAGCAATGGATGGCTCTAAACCTTTTTTGTGTCTTAAAACTTCCCCCTGTCTAATTCATACAAAAGGAGGCATTGGCTAAACCCTAACATGAAGTTTGCTTAACAGTGTCATTTTTTGCTTTGATCGGCATTTTGCATTAATCTGGATGAAATCGCAAATGGTCACTTATACCTGGTGAAAGTTCAGAATCAGAACCATTTAAAAGAAGCAAGAAAGTATGTGTCAATTAGCATGTTACCTGGATGAGATGAGAGGGTAAGGTTACCACGGCAACTGACAGCGAAGACCTCAGTAACGCACGAAGTCCATACAGAAAGGTGGTCAGGGCGTGGCTGTTGCTAGGTTTGTCATGGCAACAAAGGTCGTCCCCCCACAGAGCCGAGCCCAGAGAGTGAAGCCCGACACGCAGGATGTTACGTGACTTTGACTGTAAGAATGTAAAAAGGGTGGTGGGGTAAAGATATGTAAACGTTTTATATAAAAAAAAAGTTATAATAATAAAAAGCACCAAATGTTACTGAAGAACATGAGGGTTACAGAAACAAAAAGAAGTGTAAGAATTTGATTTTGATTTGAAAACTTGGGTGCTGCTATCTTGGGCCATATTTCCAAACCCTGGGTGAGAGCAACAGACAGCCTGCTTAGTGGCACAGACGATTGGAACACACAGCCCAAACGTGACTGGACACAACCGCCCAATCACAGAAGCCATCTGACACATGCACAATGGACCTGTCAGACAGGCTTCCAATATGGCCGCCACCCAGAAAACCCCAGCACATTCTTGGCACAGCGGTGATGCTCTGCAGCCAAGGGGGGCCTGGGTAAGGGTGGAGTGCCTTGCCTTGAACCCCCCTCTTCCCCTACAAACACACACACACTCCACCCCACCACATGGGATCAACTGAAACCAACTTTGTTTAAAAAAAAAAAAAAGTGGGCCAAACAGTGGTAGGATATATATCACTGCACCTCAGAAAGTAGTGAAGCCTGTCCAAACTGTGAGAGAGTTTTAGTCTTGCCTACAATTGCCTTTCATTTGGTCTGTCTTATAGGACAGCTCCTGATTGCAGAAAGTGAGAGCCAAGAGCAATAAACAAAGGTCTGCTTTAAAAATTTTCTCACTTTTCACCTTTATTTTAACCTTTTCCCTAATTTAAACCACCTCCTCAATTAAGGCAACTTCTGCAAAAACTCCTCAGCTCAAATTTTCTTCGCCCAACTTTAAGACCTAACCTCATTTAGGATCTGGATCAGTATTGAAGCAATCTAAGAAAAATAAACACCATTGTTAAACTTGCTTTTCAAAACTGCCTCAGAGTTTCCAATGAGACTCTCACCCTGGACTTCACATTTATTTATTTTTTCTCCCACGATATGCTATCAGTCTATATCTCAGCTAAGATATAAGCATTCTGCACATGTGTGCAGTAGTCACAATAAGACATGCCCCTTCTTTTGTTTGGGAGTGTTTTCCTACACAGGTTTTGAATTAGAAATCTATTTCTGTGTCTGATGCCCCACAGGAGGTCACTGCGGTAATTTGACGGTTGCTGTGGCAACATCAGGATGCAACAACAAACTTAACTCCTATAGTTTAGCCTATAGAAAAATCAGGGAACAGTGCCAGTAGGCTCCAGCCAGAAACCAGAGGCCAGCCATATAGACCAAAACTAGTCTGGGATCTCAACCCAATCAGAAAAGGGTCTGCAAAGATTTAGAGAGACCCCTTTATTTAATTATTCAGGAGAAAATTATAACCTTTCCAATTATTATTCGCTCAGTCAATGTTTATTTTAAATGTTTCAATAATTTACACCACAACAAGGAAACATAAATCATCCCATCCACCCTGTTACCATACTGTGTATGTTTTGTGCCAGCGCCCATGTCGCTCTGTGTCGGTTTGCATTCCTGGACTGTGCCAACAGTGTGTCAGGTGGTCCTGCTGCTTTAATGATGTCAGCAGTTAATCTGGTGCTTGAATGACAGCTCTTGGGGGAGAAAATCCCTTGTGTGAGTGACAGGAGGAGAGGTGGCTCCAGGTGATAAGCACAGGGTTCACAGGAAGCAGGTGAACAATGCATAGATACTGTGTATGCAGCATCCCACAAAATAAAATAAAATAAGATGTTTTTCCATCTCCTAAAAGAAAAGCTTATGCTCAGTATGCACGGGGTTGTGTATGATAATGTTGATCACAAATTCTTGGGCTTTAAACAGTAACAGCATGAGAAAGATTTAAGACAAAGAAATCATTTAATCTTATTCAATCAGGTGAGGGAAGGGGGGGTTACCTTGTAGAAAATATTGAAAAACAAAAATAAAACTGGTGCTGTTCTATGCCTTTATTTCAATTAACTGGAAACATGTAACTAGTGCATTTAAACTTTTTTAATAAACATTCTGCATTTTTATCAAAGATAAAACGTTGCAGGTTTCTGGAACTTTTACAAACACTAAATGAAGATCCAAGCTTATTTAACCACCGTGGAGAATAAGAATGCCAATGTCATCCATATGTGTTTCTGTTATTAAAGGAATAGTACACCCAAAACATGATTAGCCTTCATTTTCTACTCACCCCCATGCTGAACAACACAGCCGGCAGACCAAACCAGCGCATTCAGCTCGGCAAAGAACTCATGCTCTTCCTCAACACTGAAGTCCTCAGACATTTTTCTTTCGTTGTTTCTTTCTTTGCACAGGTAAACAGCACATTTCTTCTTCTACGCTTGCATTATTGGCAGAGCAGACGCTGAATGCGCACTTTCATCTGGTTTGGTTTCCCGGCTTCCGTAGCGTCGTGAACGCGCATGTGCGCGCTTTCAGGAAATCCTATACACCACTGTTTATGCTCTAAAAACATTCTAAATGACTTCGTTTCGAGTAAATTCTGGATGCTACCCACTCAGGACACTTGGAATACATTGGACGAGCAGTATGGAGGAATATTGACACGTTTTTTGTGGACTTTTATGGACCTTTCTGGCTCGGGCACCATAGACCTCCATTATTTGAATGTCAGCAGACGGCAAGAAGCCTCCCAGATCTCCAGATGCATTTGAGATATCAAAAAAGTACTGCAGAGTGTTGTTCAGCATGGGGGTGAGTAGAAAATGAAGGCTAATCATGTTTTGGATGTACTATTCCTTTAAACAGTAAAATATGAGCTTATTTTAAACCTTTTTTCACATTTTTACCAAGTGCCAAAAAATGCAAAGTGTCTACATGTGGCCAATTAAAAGATATAAAAAAACAAAAACATTTCCAGTATGACAAAAGAAAAACATATAAGGAACAGAGAAGCCAGTACAAATAAGTCAGAGTGAGTAAACTGCTTGGTAATTTAAAGAAGAAAGCCACATGAATGCCCTTAATGTCTCTACATTTACTTTCATTTTCAGTTTAGTTTTATTTCATGCAATTAAACATAAGTCTGCTGTGACTAGACATTTTGGCTTTTTATAAAATAAAGATGTTTATAGGACGGTTTAGGTACAAATTAAAATATATACAGCATTATCTAAAGGTAGCTGCCCTCAAAGGAATCTTATATTTTTACTTCTTTTGTGTTCCTTAAATAGTCAAACAATTTTAAAAGGCCAGACAAAGAGCGCTACAGGCCAAATTAATTTATCAAGCAAAAAAAAAAAAAAAGATTTTCTAACCGACTAAGCTTAATGTAATAAAAGAAACGGTGTGCTAAACCTAATAACTACTGCAATGTAGACTTTGGGATGACTGGCACTGAGTCGTTTATATTATTATGGTGGAGATTTAGTGCAGTCATAACTTTTTTAGCATCATCTCTTTTAAATCGCAACTCTGACTGACCCACTGCAAAAAAGGTCATAAACTGATAGCCTGAGATTCTCCTTTAGGATTTTCTTGCAGCGCTTAGAATTTATAATGGTGTTGATAGAATAAAGTAATTCAGGTTTTCCTTAATGTTGGATTTTGAACCCTGACTAAAGGAAGTTTCTAGATCAAGGGTCTATGGACCTTCTGCTGTTGGTATAATTCATTTTGTCAACAAAATAAAAAAATATAACAGTTTTTATAAATGTAAATGTAATAAAGAAACACTAGCCTAAAACTGTTTTAGAGTAATAGTTTAGGAAGTCATTTTTTGTGTGTTTAAGTTTACGACTCCATTTTTCTTTAACATCCGTTTCTTTAAATTTTGAAAGCTCCAGAAAAGAAAATGTATTAATTTCCTAAAATGTAAATACTTGATGATTTGCTGTATCTTGAATCCTAAAAACAAAAACAAAAAACTATTTACTTTATTACAAACATTAAAGGAAATATCATACATAGAAACTGAAAAATAAGTTGTGTTAAAGCGTTTAGTAGCTTTTTTCTGCTTTGAAAAGCTTTTCTTTAGCAGCAATTAGGGCTGCAATAATGATTATTTGGCAAATCAATTAATCTGTTAATTATTTTTTCAATTAATCGATTTTTTTAATTGATAGAAAAAGGTTCCTTAAAAATACTTTTCATGAAATTAAACTTGTTGAAACTAAAACCTTTAAATTTGATGAATTTAGGATAGAACATACTGATAAATGAAAAAACGTTGATATATTTTTCCACATCTTGATATAGTTACTGCTCTAAGTGGGTTGCTCTTTCAGTTAAAATCAGGTTTTAGAGTCTCTATACACCAGTTAACAATTAATCGATTAATAAATTAGCTGACGATTATTTAAATAATCCATTCATCACAATTGATTCGATTAAATGTTTCAGCCATAGCAGAACCAAAGCAAAATGGCTGTTGGGGTCCTGACAGTTACTGAGCACTGATCTAGACTTTCAATATTTTTCTGCTTTTGTACATGAAGTTCCCTGTGAAGAGAAAATGACCTGACACCCTTAACAGAGTGTTAAAAGTCAAAAGATTGCAAACTGATTTAATGATGGATGATATGGATTATCTCTAAAGCAAGCTCTACTAAAGCCAGAGTGACTTAATATGTTTATTCAATACAATATCCTAAACTATAAAACTTTGTGTTTTTGATTGAATAAAACAAAGTAGACAGTTTATTTGGTTCTTACCATTGGGGTCGCCAAATCAAAGCCCTCTCTCTGAATGACCTCTTGCAGTGACTTCAGTAAGGCAGAGTATGACTCAACCCTGAGATTGGACAAAGAATGAGACATAATGTAAACAGGGAACACAAATCTATTTTATGTAAAATGTAAAAACCATCAGCAGGATCATTTTGAGAAACTTGGGCCAAGCTGATCACTGCAGTAACCTAATCCTCAATGACTGCAGCCTGCTCCTCCTGACAGTGCTTTTCTGGAGCCACCGAAGCAGACAGATGATCCATATCAAGAGATCCAATTAATTTATTTGGTTGATTAAATTACAACATGACTGGTTCCCTGTCAGCTCCCTGAGGATCCGATTGTGCCGAGACAGACAGACAGATGAGGTGCACATATGCGCAAACGTGCGCACACGGAGAGGAGATGAGGGATTAATGGGCTGATATCTAAAACTAACAGAGAACAGCATTTTTGTGTTTAATCAAGGGTAAGATGTGCACCACTGACAGGGGCCACACAGTGCCATCGGAGCAACATTTAGCAACAGTCAAGGGATGGATTACTGCTGAGCCCTCTATGAGCTTATGGGATGGCCAATAATAATGTTAACCCCATCGTTTTACACCGGACCCTCCACTTAGAAACACCTCGCCGCTGTAATGACCACTCTGTGGCAGCTCTCAGTGGGCTACTGTGTCAGCTGTCAATTCAACCTGAGAACCACAAAAGCTGATACACATAGGTTGGTCACACGCCAAAACCCCCACATAAAGAAGAGAGCCGCACACTTGTGTTGATTACCCTTGGCCAAGTATATCAATGAACTCTATTTCAGTTATTCAGCTCAACAATGGTGCCTCCTGACCCTGCTGTGGATAATGATAGAGCTGCACCGGTGAAAAAGGGACCCGTACTCTCCACGGCCTCTCTGCCCATGCCCCAGCTCTGAGGTGGTGGGGGGCTGGGACGCTCTGACGTTCGGCTGCTCGCAGGAGGTTGTGACTGGTTGGCAGCCGTGGTGGAGGCCAGCATTGTGTTTTCGCTACCCCTACAGAGCAAGATCATTCAGGTACCTAAAGAGGGTTAGGTGCGTAGCTACAGGGGCTAGTGCGTCAGCTAATTAGGATCATGCACCGGAAAGCGTCTTTATCTCAGCGTTTCTCTTTCAGCTGGGGAAGAAAGAAGGAGAGACGGGAGATGCTTGGTCTTAAACAACAGGATCTGTATCACCTAGAGAGCAATTTGTGCCAATTATGCCTTCAAGTGAAACGGAGCAATTTAACAGCTAGGGTATCAACATGGGGCAGCGGACACATGCAAGGGGGAGTAGCTAGCTTCCAGTTTGTGTGTTTCATGAGCTTATAAGATATGCACTGATTGTGCGTGCGTGTGTGTTCTCGTGTCGGTACTTGGGCGGGCCTTGGGGCACAATGGCACTTTGCAGGTGTTGCTTGCAGCTGTCAAAATGCCTGTAAGATCTATAACCCATTCACACTCTCCAACAGCACCACTATGTCACCTTTGTGTGCAGCCCAGGGAGATTCTTCCCACATTCTTAACATTAACCATTATTGCGTTAAGAAATAACATTTAACTGATTAGAGGTCACTTTCCACCTTGAGCACCGCTCTTGTGAAAATGTACATTTTAACCCGAATGCCCATAACTTTTAATGTGTTTGTACGGTCACTTTGTTTACCGCTCTCTGTTTGCTGATAGAGGGAATGAGGGATTCTCTAAAGCCTCCTCCAACATCCTCTGTGCTCCAGATTGCTGTATTTACCCAGTGCAAGCGAGTGAGCCTTCGTGTGCCCATGTGTGTTCAGCAGCACTTTCCGGGTAAAGAGCCTGCGCGACCTCTGAACCCTAAGTACACTCAATGCAGGAGAAATCAAACAAACGCTGAGCAAACAAAACCCTTGTTTGAACAGACATACGCAACCTTTTCCTCTAGAACTGAATGACCTGACCTGTGGCATAAGATGCTAAACAGGAGAGCAAGCAAGCAGATACGTAACAAATTTCAATCAGCTGTAAAAATAGTAATTATATTGAGTGATTCATGTTATCTGTTCATAACTGGAACATTTTTAAATGTGGGTTTTATCTGGATTAAAGCAGAACAGTAATTTAATTAATTCATTGATTTTAATTTAATTTAAACACATTTTTCAAAGGGGTAAATGAACAAAGTGATATTTAATCTACCAGACTACTAAAACATAAATTCCTACTTTAAATCATCTAAGTGAATGTTATGATATAACAGATAAATTAGGCTTTGTTTTCCTGAAGTAAAAAAAAAGCCATCAGCCATTTTACTGGAGCTGAAACAATTGTTTGATTAGTTTAAGGTTTACCGTAACACTGATTAATGCCTCATTTAATTCGAGACAAAACAAATATAAGTTAATTCAAGCATTTACAATTTAAGCATCTATTTATTATATTTGTCTCAGAAATTATTTGAATGGATTTAGTTTTTTTGCCACAAAGAAATGTGAATATTTGCAACTTTGCAATATTTTCTAGCCTTCATTTGAGCAAGAAACCTAAACTAATACAAACAGAGTATGAAACGTGATGTATTGAAGACCAATCTTCTCTGCCTGCTCATGTTTACTAGGATTATTCCAAAGGGATGTGCTCTTTATATTCTACAACTCCGTCTCACTGTATTTAGGGTTCACCTGTTATTCAGGGAACATTGCCATGTTAACTTACATGCTTTCTGAAGATGAAGTCGTATTTGAACAGCCCCGTTATGCGGATGATGTCATGCTTTTGTGCATGTGTTCGCTGGATTTTGTCTTATCGGTTTGGCCTGATTTATTATAGGACTGTGTCTTGCTGTCCTACCTGTGTGCCTCTGATGAAGGGGTGACGTGATCTGGAAGGTAGAAGCGGTGAAACGTGGCCGCTTGGCGAATTTCCTCCTCCATCGTCTTTGAGACATCGTAGTAGTGTCCAAAACGAGACGAAGATGCCAAAGCACTCTGAAATATTTATAAATGCATAAAAAAAAAAAAAAAAAAAAAAAAACTTGGTTAAAAAGAAAAAGAAGGGTTTTTAATTGGGCTTCATAAACTCAACTTTTTGATGTATTAAACCAAAAATACAGGTTATAAAATTGTTTTTAAACTTTACTGTGGCGATGCAATTTAATTGTTTATGGTTAATATCTAAACTTTTATTTACGACGGAGAAGTAAATAAGCACTATGGCCAGCCTCTTCATCATTTCTTTACTTAAATGTCCACTTCTGGCTGTGAAAGCGAACATGGCATGGAAGCAGGGGAAGGCGGATGTTTTCCTGCAGCTGAAAGAGAGAGTTTTAGTTCTTCTTTCTCGGTAAAACCGTGGTCCCCATTGTGAGAGGGGCCCTTAATCTACTCCTAATCTGGATTAGGGCCCCCGGTGTGTCCCTCTCCTGTCAGGACGAGGGGGTCAGGGGGCAGAGGAGGGGGGGTCAGGCGCTCATCTTCTCTTTGTGAACCAGGCAACCCGCTTAGCGTTCCATCCCCGCCCTGACGGGCTCACCTTTGATCTGATGTCTTCATCAGGAGAACGACGCAGTGGGCTGTGCCAGGAGAGGTGTGTGTAAGGGGAAAGTAAGCGTTGACTCTCGAGGTGAATTTGGGATGCAAATCCTCTGGCGGGGCTTACTAGTGGTTTGTAAAGACGATTTTACAGGGGAAGGGGGGGAGAGGTGGTGAAAGGACACAGATATAAAGAAGTTTCCAGGGAGAGAAAGAGGGAGAGGATCCCTAGGGATACACTGTGTTCTGTTAATCCACATAGCGATATGGATTATAGACCAACGGGGGTAGACTGCAAAGAAGAAGAAGAAGAAGGGGAGGGTCTGCTCTCCTCAAAGCGGAAGAAAGAGTGTAGAGCTGCCGACCCTAGCAGGGGGAAAGGCAGGGATTTGGGGGAAGATGGAGGCACAGGTCTGGGTCATAGGGTTGAGCGAGCAGACATGTCAATGCACTGCCTGCAAAGTACCCTTGTTTCCCAGGCCAAGCAGGGGTGCAAGTGTGTGTGTATGTGTGAGTATATGTGAGCTGGGGGAACAGTGAAAAGCCTACCTATTGCCAGCTAAGTGTGAGTAATCTGCTGCGGCCCTGAAAAGAGAGGCCGAGGCCTCATTCACTCCACAAAGGAGTTTAGAGGTAGATGGATTTAGTGCTCGAAACCATTGTCAAAGGACTAAAAGCCGAGATCCAGTGCTGTTCTTTCTCATCCTATCATTAAGGGTGACACATGTTGAACTTTCACTAAATTAAGATAGCCTCCATTTGATTGTAAAAATTGTAAAAAACGGTTGCATTAAAAAGCACAGTGGGATCACCTGCACTTTAGGGAGATTCTGGTAGCGCCAGGCAATCTTCATGGCATCCAAACTGTCCTGGGGTTCACCACTCAGCCTGGGCTGCTCAACAGGTTTGGCAACAGCAACATCATCCAAAATGGGGGCTGGTAGCTCCTGAAACAAAAATCATACAATGAACGGAAATATTTAAACAATACATTTTAAAGTTTGACAAGTATTTCAAGTTTTATATATGAAAAAAAAAACACAGGGCTCTATTCTAGAGCACTGTTCTATATTAAAGCATGTATTTATTAAATTGTAAAGAGTTTTTTTTTTTTATCAGACAAGTTCTCCATCACAAAAATGTTTAAAGCAATCTAGAAACTAGGCTGATTTTCTAATGATGTACATGTAAAACGCTCATAACACAACATTGTTGAACATAAATGATCTAAAATGTCTTCATTAAACTTTTCATAGAGGAGACCCTAACTAAACTAAACTGTAAATATGTAAAATCAAACCGTAAAAATCAGATAACGGTCACTAAAAAAATATATTTATTTAATTTTCATTAATCAAGAGAAACACTAAACACTAAAGTGCCTTTTGGCATTATTATCAGCAGCACATGTTAGGTTTGGAGAAATTGCAACAACCCAAAGGCAAACACTTAATTAAAGGGCATTTTTAACTATGGTTTGAATTCAGATTAAAGTTCAAGGACCAATGCATAAGCAGTATACCAGCTACCCAGTGAGTAGCAGATTGGGCTTAAAGGTATAGTGGAGGATGTTCTTTTTCCGGGTGGATCATCAAAATAAGTGGTCCTCCAAACTGTCAATCATTCTGGTGATATGTTTACTTAAGGCCCTCCTACGTGTTTGTCAGACATTGAAGCTCACCACGGTTATTTGAAAATGGCAGAGGGTCGTAAGAGAAAAAGTGTCTACAAAGTGTAAGAGAAGAAGAGAAAGGCCTCAGAAGTGAGAAACAAGACCAGAGTGTTTTTGGGAGATTCTTACTCGCAATTTTTTTAATTTTTTAATTAAAACGCATGTTTAATAGGCTTTCCCTCTTGGGATCAGGTTCAGGGTTGAGCACAAGCTTGTTTTATTTTTATTTTTTTAAGTGGAGAGGGCAGGTCTTTTCAAAAATTCGGAAAAATCCTCCACTATACCTTTTAAATATGAAGAGACATATAGACCTTAGTTAGACCTCATGAGATGGTAGGTCTATTTTTAAACCTGATCTTAATGCATGTGGTCTAAATGTGGTCGAAGCTTAGACTTAATAGTTGATAGAATTAATGTGTGGATGTCCTTGAGTGAATAGTGTTAAATATAATAAAATAATCACATATTAAACAACTACTAATTTGATGATACACACATTGTAATCTTAACTGCCTTTAACAAGTAAGCTGCAAAGGATTTGTATTGTCAGCTTTCTGGATCAGCAAAGTTCAGGTTTTTCTGAAAACAGTCAGGGGTGGATGGGTGGGGGGTTGGAGTATCACAATCTCCATCTAGCACTGCTACACACGGTGACTAGATGCGTTTTACAGATGGAGGACACAGCAAACAGAATACCAAGGAGGCAGATGAGGAACTTTTATGAAGTTATTACACAAACAAGTTAAAAGGTTTTTCGACTGCAATGAAAAAAAAAACTATTAATATACTTAAACAGTCCTACATTTATCATATTTTTATTCAGAGTGCTGTTGATTGACAACAGAGTGTCTCCAGTCAAAGGCCCCTCCAAATCTGCTGCAAGAAAGACAGCTATAGGAGGTCCTTCCTGTTTACAGCTATCAACATTTATATTTTACTGAAAAAGAAATAACCTCGGGATCCATAAGGTTTTTGGAGGTGAACAAAAAAATTTATAAATCATCTGAGCACAGATGAGATTTGAAAGTTACGTTTGTAAATCACTGATTTCATTTTTATTTTGTTGCTTGTTTATCTTGGTTAAATAGATCTACGCTCTAGACAAAATACCCCTTAACTAATTAACGTAGATGTCCGTTAACTATTTGGAAAATTAATAAATGCAATTTAATTGATTAAATAGATGTCTGAAATAAACTAGGCCAATTATTTCAAAGGCAAAGCAATCATTTCATTTTCGCAAAGACCTGACTACATTTATTAGAGGTACCCAGAGGTAGGTAGTAATTAGTTACATTTACTCAGTTACATAACAATTTGAAAAAAAAAATATATATATACCGGTATATATAATATACTTTTAGGAGTAGATTTACTGTGCTGTACTTTTTACTTTTACTTGAGTATTATTCTTGTTAAGTAGTGATACTCATACTTTAGTAAAATCTAATTGTGACTAATTTCCACCATTTCAAAATCAGGTAAACATTTAGTTAACAATAGATATTAACAGTGAAAGTTTACCTTGTCCTAATATAAAAATAATAATAAAAAAAATAAATAAAATATATATATATAAAAAAAAAAAAGAAAAAAAAAAAAGATATATATATATATATATATATATATACACACACATACGTACATACAGAGTTGTCATTGTAGAGATTGTTTTTTTAAGTTTTATACCATACCATACCATACCAACTTTATTTATGAAGCACTTTATACACCGAACAGGACCAAAGTGCTGTACACAATCATAAAATACAATAAAATTATAAAATAGAGAAAAAACGAGTGTAAAATACATATTAGTATACAAAAAGAATAAAACAAAGTAAAACCTCTCAAATTGTGCCAAAAGCCAAGGAAAAAAGATGAGTCTTAAGAAGGGACTTAAAAACAGCAAGAGAAGAGGCCTGTCTTATGCTCAGAGGCAAATCATTCCACAGCTTAGGAGCTGCCACAGAAAAAGCACGGTCTCCTCTGAGCTTGCATTTTGTCTTTGGGACCCTCAGAAGCAACTGATCAGCTGACCTGAGGGATCAGCTGATCCCTCAGGTTTTATGTAGGAAAAAAAATGGTAAAAGTATTTCTTCTGCACAAATTTGTTCTTTGATTTTTCAGGAAATTTACTTGTATTCTTCGGGCATTTAATTTGTTCAAATACCAGAACTTATACATAAAGTCTGTTTGCCAGCATCATTTCTAAACGTTAAATCTGATGTAAGTATGCAACAATTACTCAGTATTCAAGTAGCCTTTTTACGTAATACTTTTTTACTTTTACTTGAGTAAAAAAATGTTAGGCAATGCTATTCTTAGTTGAATAAAAGTTTTGTGAACTCTACCCACCTCTGGTGGTAACCCTCTAAGCCTTTTATCTCCTTAAAGTAATTTGAGCGCAAATTTCTTAATCTCCTAAAAGTTTGAATAAAAACATTAAATTTAATCCTCCTTGGTGGTAAGGAGTAAACAACTACAATTCCTTTTTTTGGATTTTTTTTTTATAATACACTAATTATCTTTTATATTATATATAAATTAGCAGCAAAATATGGCTAAGTAAATACAAACAAACACAGTATTTAAATTACCACTTTGTAGTCCCTTCTGCAACTTAAATATTTAGACTGCCATACTACAAATACAACAGAGGAAATAATAAATAATTTAATATATCCCCAGTGGGACTCTCCCTCTTTTAATAAGTCTTTGATATGCAAAGAGAGGGTGAGGCGATGAACCCTCCCACTATCAATCAGATGGAGAGAAGCGCCCCTCCTCTTTGCTGATTGGCAGGAAGCTTCTGGGGACTATGGTCCCGTTTACAGATTGATATGCCGGGAAACATTTCAACAATGTCACAACTATACCAGTCTTGACCTCCCAGATACCCCCGCTGACCCTGATACATGCTGGAGAAAGCTGAGGCTTTGGAAGACAACATAAAGAAGTAACATCTGACATCTTTTATGTGAAAGAAGAGTCGACAATATAGCCTTTTCATATGGCTGTTAAAAAATCTTTCTGAACTATCCAGTCTTTTGATGGCCAGAAAGCTCCTCTTTAGAGGTTAGATAAAAACAAATCTCCTACCTGTAGGATGTCATCAGGGCTTTCTTGAGCTGTCGCCACAAAAAGTTCATGGCGACACACCACTCCCTCTGCCAGAAAGTACTTTAAGATCATGCGGGAGTAGCTGTCATATCGGTCCTCCTCTAAGAGAGAAACAGAGATGAGAACCATCAGATTATCATAGATGGAAATGACAAAGTAAAGAAAAAACACGAAAAACATAAATACATTAGTCACTCGTGGCTGTCTTATTCTTTATTGATTTGAACACCTCACCACCTGTCTAGCGGTTCATGCCTACATCTCCGCTGCTAGCTCTAATCGAGGTAAGGACCAACTTCTACCTGCCTACTGCAGGCAAAACATGATGTAGAAATCAACATGGCACATGAACACAGGTGTTACACTTGGATATGAATTTGAAAGGGAAAAAAATGACATCTCTGGCTGTTTTGCCTTTTTCGACTTTTTCGACTTTTACCTGGCTCTTCCCACGCAGCAGAGAGGTACCTTGGTGGTCAAAACAACTGACATGCAGAGATGGAGAGTAAAAGAGCAGCAGTTGTCAAAAGCCTTCCTGACACCTGGTTCCTTTGAATATCTGAACTTTTGGTGGCATCCCTAATGGCAGTGGCATTCCTTTCACTTCTGTATTTGGATTGTCAGTAGCAATTAATCTTTTTACATTTAAGAGAAAGTTGAGTTTTCAGATGGTAATCCTAGAAGAATTGACATGACAGCCTTTAGAAGGCGGGCTCTGCCATTAAAAGGACAGGTAAATACCTCCTAATGTAAAAATTGCCTCCACAAGCCCTTCTTATTGTACATGGCATGCTTTCAACATGACAAAGCCCCTCATCAGCATCATCATCATTACAGCCAACAGCGGAGGGCACATAGCTCTGCCCAGCATGCCACTGCTGGTTCCTGTCACCGTCACCCTTTTGCAAAGATTCCATGGGCGTTTCCTCACAATGGCAAACAGTGGGCACACGCACAAAGGCAGCGGTGACAGCTGAGGCAATGGGTATGCAGCTGACAGCTTGGGAATTACATCCTGATGTGTCATCCTCAGACATTTGGAGAATTCCCCCACCCTCCACTCCGCTCTGCCTTGTCCGCATCCTCACCTACAGACTTCAGATGGCCGAGGAAATTCCACGGCTCTTCAATTTGTTGTCGGCAGGACTCCCTGTTCTCTTATTGATGGGTTTTTAGGTCAGCAGGCCTTTGTGCCTTTCACCAGGCCCCACAAAGACTCCCAGATGGGCCCTCTCAAGATGGGGCCTATTGTGGTTGTGTTTCTATGGGAGCATTACAAATGGAACCTCCAGGAGTCATTAGGCTGTTGAGGCAGGGGGTATAGGGAGGGGGGCTGGAGGTGGCGGGGTATAGTAGCAACAGGGGGTGGGGGACGGTTATGTCTTCGAGGTAGATCAGTCACTCTGGACAGTCATAGGATGATTTTCCCCACTTGTTTTACTTCTTTTTTTGCTTTTTCTGACTAAGATCACAAAAGTGGGATGTCTGAGCTTTATTCGCCTTCAGACCAGGAAGTTGTAGTGCAAGGTTCCTGAATAATATCTGCTAGAGCTGCAGGGAACAGAGACAAAAAATCTAGGTCAGACGTTTTCTTCCTATACGTCTTTGCTTAAGGAAAACATTTTTTATGTGCTGCATAGAGTGGGCAAGAAGATGGACATTAAATAAATAGAAGAATTGTTAAAATTATAAATGTTTAATTCAGTTTAACTTTGAATTCTGTTTATCAGAATCAGAATCGGGTTTATTGCCATTGTTAGTGAAGAAGTTCACAACTAGGAATTTTTTGTGGTACAGTCGTGCAACATGAAACGTATATGAAATAGTAAATAAAATTATAAAAATCTCTAAAAACACTAGGGTATAAGGCATGCAAAAAATATACTAATATATACACTTAAGATGGTGTTGAAGTAAAAGTTGTCAAGTAGTTCAGCTCATACAAGTGGTTGGTTGATAAGGCTTTTGATTACATTTTTGTTCATTTTCTGGTTGTAGTTTTTTTAATGAACTTATAGGATTTGCTTTCTTTTGTACTGATTAAATAACAATCTTAGTGGAAAAAGAGTCGATCAAGTTAAACATAAATGTTTTGGTTAATCTAAGTTCTATCTTAATGTAAGCCTTAACAGGTCTAATATGCCATTAAAACTCAAGATATGCAAATAAAACACATATTCCATCTATAAACACTTCAATCTACGGAATTCTTTGCTTTCTGTCGGATTACAAACTATTACCTCGATCAAATATTCTGAAGCAAATTTTTTTCTTTTTTAAGTAGGGATGCATAATAGAGGGCATCAATATCACTATGAGCCAAGTGGCATTTTTAAGCATATAAGTTTTGGTGCAATAAGTAAAGTATATTTTTAACATTTTTAAAAACCAATATTTCTTTCCCGTCTTCAAGAGGGTATTTGTTTGGTCATGTGGGAGCGATTGTGATATAGCTCACGATTGTGGGTGAATACCTGAGGCAGAGAAGCAATGTTAGCAACGTGGTCAGTTTTTCATGTCCAAACGTTAGGGAAATAAATTACATTGGTAAATATGGGTTTAGGGCTGCAACTAATTATTTTTTTGCAAATCGATTAATCTGTCAATTATTTTTTTAATTAATCGATTAGTAATCGGATAGCCAAAGCTTCCTTAAAGAAGGGTTTTTTACGAAATTAAACCAGGTGAAACTCAAACTTTTCCACTGAGGAGTTATGGGTAGAGCATTTTGACAGACGAAATGTTTTTTTCCATCTTAAATGCGAAATGCTTTTATATATATATATATATATATATATATATATATATATATATATATATATATATATATATATATATATATATATATATATATATATATATATTTTTTTTTTTTTTTACAATTTTGGTAGAATTACTGCTCTAAGTGGGTTGCTCTGTCTACTGAATACAGTACTAAATTAGTTGAAACTATTTCCATAATTGGTTAATCACGATTAATACGATGAATTGTTTCAGCCCTATATAGGTTCCAGGTTTGATTCCCGGCCCGGGGTCTTTCTTCATGTAGTTTGCCTGTTCTCCCAGAGCATGCGTGGTTTCTCTCCGGGTACTCCGGGTTCCTCCCACAGTCCAAAAAAAACCAAACAAAAAACATGACGTTTTGTTTGATTGGTTTCTCTAATTTCTCCTTAGGTGTTGTGTGTGCATGAATGGTTGTTTGTCTTGTTTGTCTCTGTGTTGCCCTGCGATGGACTGGCAACCTGTCCAGGGTGTACCCTGCCTCTCACCCATTGACAATTGGAGATAGACACAAGCGTCCCTCGTGGCCCCAGCTGTGATGGAAAATGGAATGGATGGCATAATTAGAAGGCATGAGTTCAAAGGAATCTTTAGATTCTAATCATTCAGCCTGATCGACACATGTCTGGTTAAAACTACAGGAACCGTATTTCATCCTCTTTTGAAATCACAATTCAAAAGTTTTTCATTTTTGCCTCTAAATTGCCAAGAACCGTAAAGCTGCTGCTCTGGAGCCAAATATATAAAAGAGTTTGAAATCATTCCAGAAGTACGTGGCATTTGAATCAAAGAAGCACTAATATAACAAATGAGCAAAACCAGAGGTGCTCAGAATAAAACAAACTAGGCAGCTTTTTTATTTGTCTTGCTTGCAAAAACACAAGAGATCCTGAGACAGCGGCCATACTGGTGAGATCCCCCCTCTGGGTGACAAATAAGGACAGACAGCTCAAGACACTTCAAAGGCAGACAACGACCAGTCTGATAATTTTATGTCTGTGTCTCACAAACAGGCCATCATGGCTAAGGGGGCAGACTGCAGCCGACGACACAACACAAACAAACACACACACTCCAAACTCCCCCTCCACTCCACCCAGGAAAAAAAAAAAAACACAAAAAAAAACACACACATCGTGCACATATGCTACTCTTTCAGAGGCAAACACAAGAGAGTGCTCAACACACACACTCATTTCACCTTTACTGTGTCTCTCATTACCAGATGAAACCAACCGTACATTGATTCACAAAATGGAAGGGAAGAACGCATTAGTGTGTAATCACTGACTCCTGCATCGATTGGGGGGATGAATTAAAGGGCAAAGCAATATCATCAGTTGGTATAGGCCTTGGTTACACACAAATTACAGCTTCAAGGGGAAACATGACTACCTTAACCTCACTGTCCACCAGTGCATATAGCCTAGCCTACAATGAATGATAATAATAATAATAACACAGTGGAAGACCTTTAAGGCCCTAGAAAACCCACTTGTGATTTATGTTATTCTGAAAACTTCTGCAAAACATCTGCAGAGGAGCATATTAATGAAGGAGCAAGCGAAAAGTGTGAACACCTGGGACTCTAACTGGAGACCTTCAGGTGGTCTATTAGTCTATATTTCAATCTGCTTGAAGGTAACGTCCTTCTAAACAGAGCCTGTGGACGATTACTAAAAAAAAACGTTAGGAACTGAGTTGACATGTACTTAAGGTTTTAAAGTCTATTATGAAAATGAGTGAAGTAAAAGGGTTTCCAGAAAGACGGGTAGACTAACAACTTTCGGTCTTGGAATATGGCATACATATTTTTTGTGTAGTGCTGTGAAAAAATATTTCACCCCTTGTAGATTTCTCTTGTCACAGTTTAAATGACCAAAAAAAATCCAACTAATTTCAACATCGTAAAGGAATGAGCTCAGTAAATGCAAAATGCAGTTTTCAAATATGGATGTAATTTATGAAGAGTAGAAGCAATTTTAAACCAATGTCAACATGTGGATAAATACATTCCCCCTAAACCCGTAACAGATTATGCTGCTCTTGGCATTGCTGCAAATATTGTTTGGCAGCCGCTTCGGATGTTATCATCCCATTAAATGGCCGTTATTAGCAGTTATCAGTCGCATAGAATGGTTTCATTTTGGAGGCACAATACACACTACCGAATGAATCCTAATGCTATCCTAAAGTAATTACTTTTTTCCCAAAGAATTTCAAGTCAAGTCAAGTCAGGTCAGCTTTTATTGTCATTTTCTACATATGTACAAGACATACAAGGGAAATTAAATTACGTTTACTCTCTGCAATATACAAATATACAAGAAATATACAAGACTGACATTTAAAAACTGACATAAAGTGCAGGACATGACAGGTAACAGTGGTAAGATAAATATAAATATGAAGTATAAACATTACAATAAAAAGCAATAAAAACAGCAGCAATAGTTTGTTCCAGGCTGAGGTAGTGCAGGTAAGGTGCAGTCTCTGGTACAGTGTATGTGTGTGTGTGTGTGAGAGGTGAGAGGTTTATGTATTTAATTGTAACCTGAACTTCATGTTAGTAGTTCTTCATCTTTTGTAAAAATAAATTTAATCAACATGTCCCTTATATCAGCAACCCCTCCCAAAAAAATCTCATATCCTGTCAACTAAGTTGTTTTTAAACACCACATTAAATCGGTGTGACTGAAACATGTGGAATTCACTCGAAGTAAAGCTTTTAGGAAGATAGACTGTAAATAAAGCAGGTTAAAAGTATAAAATAGGTAAAAAGAAAGTGAAAATTAAAGTTTTAGACATGGCCAAGGTGGCTATCAACAACAAGCTGCATAATATCAGCCATAAGAGAGGTAGAGGAAGCGCAGTATGAAGCCATTCTATGGGACTGATAACCGCTAATAACGGCCATTTCATGGTTGATCACATTCGAAACAGGTGCTTTTGCAAGAGTTTTTCTGTGAATTTTAGTCAGACACACTAGAGAGTTTGAGAATCATTATCAGTTTAAGCTTTGTCACTAAATCGTAATCGCAAAAGACCATACTTTGACTACTTCAGAACCTTCAATTTATCCCCTTCTAATTGTTAAACCATCCAGCGGTTCAGTCATTGGTAGTCCTCTGATCACTACTGTGGTGATTATCCTACAGGACATTAATGTACAAACATAATTCTTCTATCAATTATAAAAAGTCGTCCAGGTCCAGATGTAGCACAGCGGGCCCAGAGGTCGACTCCACCACCATCGAGCTTGTCTTTAGAACAATGTTCTTTTTAAAAAGATTTTGGGCATTTTATGGCAAATGTAGAAGAACACACTCTCTAAAATGGTTACATTTTTTGCATCTGTCTTGGAAGTCACTGAAGGGAAATTCTAACAGCTTCAGGTTTTTCTTATATGTCAAATGGTAAAGTCACGTTTGAGTTTGTTTTTGTTCAGCAGGGGTTCTGGATTTGAAATTCTTCATTTGTTTGCCCAGTTTGAGTCCTGGGAAGGTTCTCTACTCTTCCATCTTTTCTCTTTTTGATGACAATGGATTTTACTGCGGCTTGATGGGAGTATAAAAACCGTCCAAACTTAGTACTAACTACTTAGCGATCTTTTCTAAACCATATCTTTCCCCAAGCCATCCTGGATATAATGTTCTGGGTGTGATGTGCTGCTTTTGAACATATTTGAGCCTTTTTGTGTTATCAGATGGCTTCCATTTAGTTTTTGTTTTCTTTAGTTTTGTGTAAAGAAATGCTGGACAGTTATCTAACTAGAAACAGACCTAACTAGGAATACCGAGCCAATAAAATGTGTTAATTTACATTTGATTAATAACTTAGCCAGGAGCTGAAGGGAACTGAGCAAAGTCAGAAAAAATATGTCCCTAAATATTAAGATAAATCATCTTTTAAGGATGGTTAAGATTTTTCCACATTTCCTCCGTTCATCTTCCACACTTTTAAAAGCAAACTAGATATGCAATGAGCTTCAAATGCAGTGATTCAAGAATATTTCCAAAAACAACCATATTTGGGATAACATGTTGTTATGACTTCCATGTTTGCATTTATATTTTTATCCCGGACCGTCCTGCCCAGAGCCCTGATCTCAACACTACAGAAAGGAGAAATCAATTCTAATTTGGGCTGAATGATTTTGACAAAAATCTAAATTACAATTATTTTATCCAATATTTTGATTTTATTTTCACCTAACCACAAGCTTGTAGATGTTTCACCCCAGGGTGCATAGAAAATAAATACCTCTACTTGCATGCATGGATCTGTAGATAGCTGCAACTCTTTCCACCTTTCTATGTGGCGGCAAACCAACCTTAAACATATTACTGCTACCTAAAGGGATGGAATAACAAATTTAACGTCTTACTTTTATTAAATATAATGTGACTAAAATTGAAAGGCTCTGTGATTTGAAAACGACGTTTTTGAAAATTGCATTTATTCTGCAAATGCAATTAATTACCCAGCCCTAATTCTTATCAGACTTTGTAGAACAGTGTTTACAGAAGAATTAAAGTTGCTATTGCTTGGCACAGAGTCAATCAAAACCTGGACTGTATAAATTAGGAAAAAGGTTTCATGAAGGTTATGGACATATACACAGTGTAATTATCAGTCATTCTACCATAAAAGACCACACAGTAAACTTGGAGCTGATACAATTAATTACTGGTCCTGTGTTGGGAAAAAAAAAACTTACATGAAAAAGAATCTTGTAATGTTCAGATATTATAAATTAAAATGTGCATATCCTTCCTTGTTATATATACACATATTCAGTGTATTTTATATAAAAAAAAAAAAAATAACAGACCAACACCAAGCAGTATATAAGTCTCACCTGGACGGAAACAATCTATAGTTGTTGAAATTATTAACATTAGTGAAAAGTGTAATGTATATGTATCACGTATTAAGCTCTATTTTCTGCAAAACCTCTTAGAATAATCTAGAGCTTCCATTTAACTATAGAAGTGAACTGAATGACAAAACCAAGTCAAACTGAGTTTATTTCATTGTCAGAAGAGAAGAAAAGGTTCAGTAAAATCCTGAAGTGAAAAGCGGATAAATAACAAATAGCATCAACATCAACGGGACGCAGTAATTGGACCATTAATATATAACTATGGAGAGATTAAAAGCAGGGTCGTGTTATTAATTAATTTTACAAGCTTTGAATATATGACAATTTATTGTTTGAAGCATTTGGGATACATCAGTTAAAATGTGGTAAGACTGGGAAATGGCTGCTAACAGATGTTCTGAACAGATGCATAAAGCTAATAGAGACAAACTCCAAAATAGTGACAACTTAAACTGCAATGAGAGGCAAATCTATAGACAGCTGATTCAGTCAGGCTGAAAACAAATGCAAGTGACGCTTTTTAAATTGACAGGTGAAAAGATTAAAACCATGTAATTTAGTCTTTTACCTTATAGACATGTGCTACACTGTGTTGGTTTATCTTATATAATCCTTAGATAATTTGTTTTGTTGTTGTTGAGATTTTGAATATACTGTGAGAAAATGTCAGTGTTTTTGCAAAGTACAGAATAAAAGCCCAAATACTAAAACAAGCTGAAGTTCCACAGAAAAGGTTACCTTCATTAAATATTTAGCATTTAAAGTACAAATATCAAGTTTTATCAACTTTAGTCAGTAATCAAAGTTGGATCGCCTGAATAATTTATCTACATAAACGGACCGAACTAAAAATCATTCTTGAACACAACATATGACATAATTCCCTAAAGATTTGAAACTTATTTATTGATCAATCTACTATGATCAATGTTGTCAACATTGATCAATGTTTGACTGAGAAATTAATTTTTATTTGGAATGATATGTAAAAATCTGACCACTGGGGAGATATGCTCTTTTCTACGCCTGGAAAATAAACACATTCAGCTGCAAAAAGGCAGTTTGAAGAAAACAGCATTTATACCTTCATCACTATAAGCCATCTTCTTTATTTCTAGATAAAAATACAAAACAAATACAAGCTATTTTATATACTTAAGCATTTTATATACTTTAAAATACTTAAAATCTTATTTTTTCATTTCCAGTGCCAGGTAAGGGTTTAAACCTTTTATTACCCCTTGGGTACATTTTTAAAAAGTGCCACTAATGTTTACAACAAGTTAAAAAACAATACAAATATCTTTTAACGCTGATTCTACCAAAGCAAAACAATACAACTGAGAGAGGAAAAAAAGGTACATTTGAAAAATTTTAAGATAAAGGCTTACCAATGAGAAGCACTGTCCCAACAGCTAACCCACCACCTGTTAGGAAAGAGAAATATATTAGAACAAAACATGATGCTAGAAGTATTTTTATAAAAGGGCAAGTTAAGCAAAACAAGTATCATACTTCACAAAACATACAGCAGCACACATTTTAGTTGTTTTTTCCAATGCCTTAATGATTATGAGTATGATCTATAACATATATTTTGATAAATTGTACAGTTCTAATCACATTAAGGTTCTATACCTTACAAAAGTTTTTTTATTATTATTTTGGATTATTACAGGAGTGTTTCTTTGTGTGATGAAACAAAAAAATAGTATCTGAAAATAACTGCTTTACACCTGGGAATACCATTAACATATCATTTTTGCTATAAAAACCCATATAGACACACACACACACACACACACACACATATATATATATAACAATAAACTAATGACTTGTAAAAACAGTTTTCTACTATTTTTGTTCTGCTTCCTTTCATCTATTTAAAGTCAATGCCTAATTAAATGTACTTTTCTTTTTCTGCTTTTTTTTTGCTTCTGGACTATTTTTGGCTTCCAGCACTTTTACCAAGATGTAACCAGGCTGCACAGCATACCTGCTACAAAGTTATATGCATGGAAATATTAGTGGAATAGAGCTAAATAATTAAAAGAACAGCATAGAATGCTGTATATTTTCCGTAACATGTCAAAATAAGCAAGAGCTCAAACTGAGTATCATTTTGATTTACTGCCTATTGACTAGAGGTTGATGCTGTAGATGCTGAATATAAAGGGATGTTTCCATCAGCAGTAGAACTGAATGAAAGAGGTGATGTATTAGACTTAGCCAATTGAATTCAAATAAATTACCCAAACATGTAAGCAGGGATCATTTCTAAACTTTATGGTAAAAAATGAAAACCTGCATGGAAAAAACAAATTCATTTAAATCTTTAAAGTCAAAAATGAAGATATTAGCTTTCTAGAGTGCCATTAATCCTACCAGCAATAAACCTCTGAGATAATGTTTATAGAATTCCCCCCAACAGACACATGATTGGAATTTATAATGTTCCCCTCGATGCATACACAAGTAAACACATCTAACCCAGAAATAAGAGGTACAATTTGCCTTAAGAAAGAAAACTATGAAATTAAGACTTAAGTTTAGATTAACAAGGCAAATAAAAATTTATTTTGATAATGGATTAATCTGTTGAATTTTCGTTAGATTAATCAATTAATAATTGGATAGCAAAGTGTTACTTAAGGAAGATTCTGTACAGAATTTAAGGCATTGAAGCATTTGAGGAGTTCTGGATAGGGCATATTGATAGACAGAAAAGGCTTTTCATCTTAAATGCAAAAGGTTTACATATATTTTTTTTTACAATTTTACTATAACAGCTTGGAGTGGAGTTGCAGCTAACGGGATGTTTAGAATCTCTGTACTCTAGTTAAAGGTAATTCCGTAACTAAATCAGTTGAAAATGAGTTTGATAATCGATGAATCAGGATTAATTTGTCAGTTTCAGCCCTGTTTTACATATGTATTTAAAAAAATCTTTTAAAAATCATATCATGCCGTCTGAATGGGGCGGGTGCACTTCTCTAAACTGAAATTAATTAGAGAAGGGGAAACATTGTTGAATAAGGAGTGATGTAAAAATAACTGAAATGTACAATATTAACTCAAAGAGAGAGCCTATAAATGTTTACTCTATTCTTCTTTTGCATACAAAGCACATACTTATAGATAACTGCGATACATGCCCATTGTAAACTATAAATAACATTTTAGAAATCCCTTTAGATTTAAAAAATAAACTGTTTGTTTTACTAAGCTGATATAACGTTAACTATTCTGTTTGGAGAAATATTACTGACTTATCAAAATGTTTCATCTAAAACATGAATGATCTTTCAGAATCAGAATCAGAAATATTTTAATAATCCCAGAGGGAAATTACTTCTTTAATACAATATGTAAATACATGCTTTTAATTATCTGATGAAATGATCTATATCTATACATTTGCTTTTGGGATCAATTCAGCTCCACGTCGGCGGGTTTCTAGTATCTTTAAACTCTCATAAGGTTGAAAATGTTTCAAATTGTGTAGAGCTGTGTGTATCCATTAGAATCGATATTAGCATGTGTAGCAGCCAGACACTGACCGAGCAGATAATCCAACGACGTGACACCGGTGGAAACCAAGAGTTGTCCATTTTGGACCGAAGGTCTCGTCCCGGGAATTGAGATCAGTTTACTCCTTGTTTTCTTCTGAAAGCTCGTAGCATTAACATGTAAACGCTCACTTGATGGTTTACACACATTGTTCATGGGAGCTGCCATATTGGCAATAATGACGTCAATGTTGTGGTGCGCGTTATCCAATCGAATGAGAGTTTGGTAAAGCTCGACCAATCAGGAGCCAGTTTGTTAGGTTGCTGTTTTGGGAAGCTGTCGATGGAAGGTCGGGATTGTTGTTTCCAGTGAATGGTCACAGTTTGGGATTTTAAATCAAACCAGAGCCTCAGCTCCATGTAAGTTAACAGCTGCCGTATATGCATGTATTTATATTTTACTTCAATAATCTCGAGCTCTTGTGTTTATGGCGGAACAAAGAAGCTGTTCAGTGGCTCCAAATAACTCATGGATATAAATTAAAACAGACACTGTTTGTTTCTAACTTAAAATAAATCTTAATTCTATGTCTGTATTGTTAAAACAAAGTTAAGGAACAGAAAGAAGCAATTTAAGGGGAGACCAGAGACCGGAATTATCAATTCATAAATATCAATTACAAAGTAAAACCTACACATTTAGAACTTATATTTAAAAGAACATCAAAATGAAGACCCTACACAGGGACTTGCAGGCGGGTTTTGGATCATTGTGGTGAATAAATAACCCATGTGCTTGATTTTAAGGCAGGGTTGTCCAAAGTCAGTCCTCAACGGCTGGTGTCCTGCAGGTTTTAGATGTTTTCCTCCTCTAGATTCGGATGTCAGGATTTTTAGGATAATTATCATTGAAGATGTGTGAGTGTGTTACACCCTGGTATTGGCTGCCTGTTGCGTGTCAGAACTGATATTTTAATCTAATTAGGACAATTTCTTTGTCTAGATATACAGTTATAATCTTCATTTTGTACGTGGCAAAGATTTGGAAATGGAATGAGAGCAGTGTCCTATTTTGATATGACTGGAGCCATTGATGTCTAATCATCTGCTAACGCATATGATGTAAAATAAGATGATTTGGCAGACTGGAGATGTATAAAATGCCTTTTTAACTGTAAATCGGGGCCACTACCTGAGAGGTGAGCAGCTGCCATTCTGTAACCCTAAGCAATTTCTCTGTTCTGAGTAAAATTACAATTTTTATCAGAATCTGTTGTCATGTCTCCTGGTTATTTGATACATATAAGTTATTAAGTGTTATTTAAAGAGTTTGTCCTGAGTGATCTCTTTTCAGGGAAAAGAACTGAAGAGATAGAGCATCAGGGTGCATACACAAAGCCTATTTTTAACAAGATGATGTCCCATTTCTGAAACATTGGTGTCCAAAACAGGGCTAATTAGAGCTTGGGCATTATTTATTGTGAGGGAAGCAATTCTGTTTTATATTAACTCGGCTTAGCTATAAGTGATGGAAAAATTAGTTTGATGATCTAAAACACAAAAATAAGGCTCAACTCTATAAGTGAGGAAATATTGTGCATCTGATCTGATGACGTAGAGGCATTGTGCATATGTGTTAAGAATCTTTTTTATTTATCTATTTTTTGTGTGTGTGCTGTTTTGTCAACATAGCTCTGGGAATAGATGTCCCAGAGATTGATGATAGCCCAACAGCTTTGCTTTTACAAGATGACCATTATGTCTGTTGCTACAAGGTTCCGCTTGGTGCTTGTATATTAAACGTTCTTGAAAATAATTTAGGACTTGAGAGAAAAAAGAGGGCATAAGAACTTTGGGGAGAGATAAGGAGATGGAGACAGCACTGGAAAAAATCAAAATCTAGATAAGTCCATCCATCCATTTTCAGACATGCTTAATCCCAAGTGTGGTCGCGAGGGGTGCTGCTGCCTATTTCCAGCTGTCTACGGGCGAGAGGCAGGGATCATCCTGGACAGGTCGCCAGTCCATCGCAGATCTAGATAAGTCATTTTTTCTTAAAATAAATGCATTTGTTCTTGGATTTTGGAGGTAAAGGAGACAATGGAACAAAAAAAATTACACTTAAAATAAGAAAACACAATTGCATTGTCTTATTTCAAGTGCATATTGTCTTATTATCTTATTTTAAGAGTAAAATGACTCATTCCACTGGCAAACTATCTCACTTACCTACTGAAATTAAGGGTAAATACACTTAATTTAAGAAATGTTTGCTTATTTCTAGTTCGTTCTGTCAGTGAGAAAAGTGTCTTCTTGTGTGACCACAACCGCAGCTACATGTTCTGTTTGATCTCAGCTGATTTAACATGTTTTCACTTAATAAAATCCATTTACTGGCTTTACAGGATAAAACTCTTACACGTGCCTTCTGCCAATACGTGTAAAACAGGAGTATCTCATCGCTGGGGCCGCAACAGTTACTGGGCCCCAAAACATCTGCAGCCCCAGAAAAACCCAGATTCATTACAGGGCTCTTTCAGTTGGACATCTGGCCCGCTGGAGCTGCCCTCTGTCTGTCATTGGGTAGCCAGGTCAAGTGTTCACCGCCTCCTGCTTTGATTGGCAGTTAGGGAAACATCTCAGACACTTTGGCAGATACTCACATACTGGACACCAGTATTGCACCAGTATCTGGTGCATTACTTGCACATTGGAAGCAGATATCAGACTGTGCAAAACCCATCTTAACCATCCATTGGTCTCTATAGTGTACTGCATGAAGGGTTTTGTATCGAATCAGTTGTAAAAGGATTTCTACTCATTTTAAAGGTTCTCTGACAAATGTTAGACCATGCACTTTAATCAAACCTAACTGATAAATCAGTTTCCCATTTTCCAGTGGGAAGTGATATAGACTCAGCTATATTGGATAAACTCCTATATATTTTGGAAAGTAACTTTTGGAGGATTAAGGCTTAGTAAATCCTTTGGTGGTATTTTTAGACCTGCTTCATTAAACTTAAATCTGTCTTTTATGATAGAACTAATCTGTTGCTAGTCTAGAAATTTGTTTTTGAATTCCCTAACTGTCAAATTAAGCTGCAGAATGGGATAACGTTATTTTTCTTTCAGATAACTCTTCTAAATGTGTTAAGAATCTTAACTTTTACTGCATCAATGTCTTTTTCATGCATATTTGTGAACTTTTAATCTTCCTCCTGTGTTTATTAACTCTGGCAGATTCCACAGACATAGTTCTGGAGAGGCTGACCTCTGGTTTAAAGACTTCAGTGTCTCATCTTTGATTTATTTATTTTTTGTAGCTTGTACAGTTCTATGTGTATCTTTAGGTCATGACCATCTTTAGTATTCTCTGTAGTAGTTGTCCACAGAGTAGGATCGAGAAGGAAACAGCCAGACAGACTGGGGCCTCGTCTGTAGTCATTCTAGGGCTGTTCCAGTCTATAATGGTAAAGAAAACTGCTGAAATGCAAATTTCTCAATATTCCCGTTCATCTCCATCCTAACTCTGACATGTGGTTATAAAGAAGCAAATCCTGAAAACATAAAGCTGAAATAGGCTTCCTCCATATTAAGGGTGTGCAAAATAATCGTCATGACGATGCATCGCGATCCTAATTTTTGTGATCTACTGCATCGATTCTTGCCTTCAAGAATCGATTATAAAACAAAATAAAAAATGAACAAATAAAAGACATTAATGGTTGGCGCACATCAGCCAAACCAAGTGGAAAACAACTTCCAGTCCAGCAGATGTCGCTGCGGATGTGTTGACGCCTGCTGCCTTGTGTCACAAGCATTTCCGACCGTGGGATACTGCGACGAGTCATATGAAATAAAACATGGAGGACACTATGAAAATTCGCGCTGCGGCTCCATCACATTTCAAGTCAGATGCTTGGATGCATTTTGGCTTTAAAAACAAAGAAGGTAAAACAGTTTCTTATAGTGTTCAGTATATTATTTCAAGTATCGTGATGTATCGTGATAGAATCGCATCGTGGCATGTGAATCGTGATTCGAAACAAATCGTGACTTCTTTGCCAATACCCACCCCTACTCCATATGGTGGCTTGGTCAGCGGGGCTCACTCAGGGATTCCGTCAGGTTTCCTCTTGAGTGCCTTAAAATCTGAGAGGCATTTTGTGATCCTTTTTTTTAAGCTGAAAAAAGGACAGACCCAGGAATCACTGGAGAAATCTCTACTAGTCTGGATTTCTCTATGATCCCTCAGGCTGAGATGGAAAGTGTGCCATTGGAGAAGGATATCCGAGTTTTAATTGTGGGACTGTTAGCATCTTGACTGATCAAGGAATGACAAACCACAGATAATAGGTTGGTGTATGGATGACTATTCAATCTAGAAGATTTTATGTGATCTAAAGCAACACTTAGATGTAGAATCTATTTCTGCAGCAGCGTCAAAACAAGTGTTCCTAAGACTATAGGACATTTATTAACTTCTTTTTATTTCTGAGACCAATAACATGTACTAACTGGTATAACCCCTGTTTAATTTGAGCATTGCATAGTCAACTAACTCCTCTTTGGGAGTTCAGACTGATCAATGACATCCCTAAGACAGCTGTAAAAAGCTTTGTGTAGAAGGCAGAGGCCAGAGGCAGTGTAAGATCGCAGGATGCTGTGATCGCCCAACTGCTCACTTTACCAATGCTCTCAGCATAGACAGTCCTGCTGCTTTGACAGCACTGTTGAGACTTATGTGTGGTGACAGGAGGCCAAGGGAAAATATCATGACAGGAGGCCAAGGGAAAATATCATGACAGACGATGCAGGGCATTGTGGAGAGACTCCACAAGCCAAATAAGATGCTCTGAGTGACCTGCATTTCCAAAAGGAGATCCAGCTTTAAGGATGTAAGAGTTTTCTATGCCTTAATAAAAAAAAAAAAATACATGTTAGCTTTTACGTTGCTAAATTAATCTTAGTGTGTGGAGAACAGGATAGAGTAATGGTACAAAAATAACACCTTTTCATATCAGGATCTATTGAGGAGGTGATTTTTTGTTTTCTGCTTTTATTATGTCAGCTGCTGTATCTGATCGAGCTAAATAATGGCAGCAGTCATAACATGTCAGACCTTTTCCTGGTCTGAATTTTTTGCTTTCTTCAGCCTTTCTCTGCTTTTTGTGTGGAACTCCTTAAAGGAGTCCCGATGTTTTGTGTCCAGAGGATGCCAAATTATCGTCAACATGCA